TGACCCCACCACGTTGAATCCTTCTCTTTCCTTGTACTGGAGACTCCTACAGTTGGCCCTTAAGCATTCTGCATTTCTTTGCCAATCTTGTAACTGAGTATCTTGTTCCAGTCGATTTTGGTGCGGGTAACTGGAAGCTGCCGGCGCAAGGCCTTGAACGTGGTGTCTGACATTGTTTGGTAGTTTTCACTTATTGCTGTCTGCAATAGATAATTGATGATGAGTTGTTTGAATAGAAAGAGCTGTTTGTGAACAGGAAGGTAATCAGACAAAGGACATGCTAGACAGGACACAGGACAACAGATATGTTGAGTTCCTTTCCAATCTTAAAAGCAAATCAAACTCATCTGTGTTCCTGAGACATGGCTGCAGTCTCCTAGTATGAACAGAATGCCAAACTGCAGGGTCTGTGGAGTCTCACACTTAGCAATGCTGAACAGTGTATGCTCTTATGTTAAAGGACACAAAGGACTAAACAAAATCACAGAAAAATTACTTCCAAATTTTCTTACCTGATACTCATTTTCTGCACTCTCTATGATTTTAATAAACTCCTTGGCAGTTTGGGCTTCATTCTAATGAAATAAAAGAGGAAAATAATATTTTAGAAATGTGTAAGCAATGAAAGGACACTGAAAAGCCCACCCCACGAACTGACACTTGTACAGTGATCCTAGTTTATTCAGTGCTCATGTGCACACCGTCTCTTCTTAATCCCAAGACAACACTGTCAAGTGGGTATGCTATTATCAGCACGGTCATTTAAGTGACCTGACCAAAATTATACAGCTTATGAATAATAAAGAAAGGATATAAGGACTGGTAGGAAAGCTCAGCAGGTAAAGATGCTCGCCCTCAAATCAAGCCTGACACCTGAGTTCAACAACTGGAACCGGCACAGCGGCAGAAAAAAATCTGACTTCCTAGGTTGACCTCTGCACAAATGGCATGTGTGCACCACTCTCAAATAAATTAAATAAATGTATCAATAATAAGAAAAAAAAAAAGATGGGACCTAAATCTAGGACTTTGCCAGAAGAATCAATGTTCTCTCCATTCTACCATTAATTATTCCCCAAACATAACATCCTGTCTTGAAATTGTGTGCATGTCTGTTGCATGTGCAGTATTGGGGATTGAACCTGGGACCTTACGTATATTACACAAATGCTCTACTGCTAAGCTAGATCCTCAGCCTTCTTTCCTCTGTATTGTCTATCCCCCTTCACCCCCACCCCAGACAGGGTTTCTCTGTGTAGCCCTGGCTGTCCTGGAACTCACTCTGTAGACCAGGCTGGTCTTGAACTCAGAGATCCACCTCCCTTTGACTCCCAAGTGCTGGGATTAAATGCGTGTGCCACCAGCACTGGGATGTTTTGTCTTTTTTTGACACAAGGTCTCATGTATTGCAGCTTGGCACTGAACTTGCTATGTAGCCAAGGATGACCTTAATTCCGGATGCTCCTGACTCTGTCTCTCAAATACTAGCATTACAGGTATTACCACCAGACTCAGTTTCTCAGTCCCCTTTTAGATCAACTTTTTTATTTATGTGCATGTGTGTGCGCACATTTGCCCTCAGAGGCCAAAGGAAAGGACCTTTGGAGCTGGAGTTACAGGTGGATGCAAACCACTACTATGGATGCTGGGAACTAAACTTTGATCCTTTGTAAAAGCCATCTCTCCTGACAGCATCTCCCCTCACAAGTCCTTTAAAAACGGTTAGGACAGGATCTCATAGCAAACTGCTATGCAGCTGAGGCAGGCCATGAACTTATTTTTTCCCAAGACTTGTTTTATTTGTAATTATGTGTATGTGTGCATCTGTATGTGGGCTTATACATGTTTGAGTGCAGGTTTCTGCAGAATCCTGAAGAGGGTTTTGGGTCCCTTGGAGCTGGAATTACAGGGACCCTAACCATTGAACTACCTATCCAGCCCTGGCCTTGAACTTTTCAGTCTTCCTGCTTTAGCTTTTTGAGTAGCTAGGCTTACAGGTACAGGTATGGCTTTTTCTTTTGTTTGAGAGAGTCTCACATATCTTGAGTTGGCCTCAAATTCAAATTTTATTTTGAGAGATTCTCACTAAGTTGCCAAGGCTGACCTTGAAGTTCTTCTATAGTTGAGGGTAGCCTGTTACAATGTTTTGAGACAAGGTAACCTATTGCCAAGGCATCAAGGCTAGCCTGATTCCACTTCCTAAATGCTGGGATTATGGAACTGTGCCACCACACCTAATTTCATTATTTTTAATTAAATATTTAACATTCAATTTTCATTTTAAAAATTATTTTATCAGAGACAATATCTCACATTGTAGTCTACACTGGTACTGAACAATCTTTCTGCCTCAGTCTTTGAGTATGAAGATTACAGGTATACCCTGCCATGCTGAGCAGTTTTATTTTTTAATAATGTAAACATTGATAAATAACACATAAATAAAAGCTCTTTGGGAAATTACTTTTAAGAATAAAAGGAAGTAATGATACCATGAAAGGAAGAATTAAAGAACACCATCTGTCTCTCCTTTCAGAGTATTTAGAACACAATACTTTCTGCCTTAATACTAAATATGCTTCCTAATTATATGAATATAGTCTTATAGGATTCATGACAAACTCTTCATTCACCTAACATTTACCAATTGGAGGCATTTCTGTCCTGGAGCAAATCTTACAATTAAGAAAGAGAAAGAGTTGCCCCTCAGTGGAGGCGCACACCTTTAATCCCAGCATTCAGGAGGCATGAACAGGTGGACCTCTGTTAAGTTTGAGGCCAGCCTGGTCTACAGAGCTAGTTCCAGGAAAGCCAGGGCCACACAGAGAAACCCTGCTTTGAAAATAGAAGAGCAGAAAACACATGTCTCAAAGCTGGGCATAGTGGTGCATACCTGAAATTCCAGAATTTAGGAGGTGGAGGTAGGAAGGTTAGGAACGCAAGGTCAGCCTTGGCTACATAAGATCCCATAAGGCCCTGGGTTCCATTCCTAGTACTGCACAATGGGCATAGTGGTGTATGCCTATAATCTGAGCAAAGGAGAGGTAGAGGCAGCAAGACTAGGAGCTAAGGTCATCAATGGCTACAAAGCAAGTTCAGAGACAAACTAGGATATACAAGAACCTGTCTCAAACAACGTCCCCCCCCCAAAAAAAAACAACAATAAAGAAAACAAAGTTCTTTTAAGACATGACAACTATCTCTAGTGAAAGACTTTAACCAAAACAGACCCTTGGTCATAAGAGGCACTGAAGGAAACTGTTCAAATCTGACAGTTGTCTGTTAGGGGCAAAGCTAATTTTCTAAAAAAGACAAGCAAGGCTGATATCCCACACTGCATACTCACAGAAACAGTTACTGAATCTTGCACATCTTTATGACTGACCAACTGAACATTGCCATCTTCATAATAATGAACCTGTGAGAGATAATATTTGAGAAGGGTTATGCATAGTTCATGCAGAAATGTACTGCTAAGGGAATGGTCCATGTTTGAAGCCATTTTTACCAACTCGGAACAAACAATATGATCAATGACAATTCACAATGGTATGAAAGTTCACATAACAAATTGAAGAAATCTCTCTTTTGAAGAGAAAAACGGATTACTAAGTTTAACAGACAAGCTTGCTCTATTATAGGCACTGGACTACACATTATGATACAAACACAACTAACATTCTACAGTGAATTTAAGGTCAGCATGGGCTACAGAGTGAAATTCTACTTCCCAAAAATAAAACCCCAAAACAACAACAAAAAATATGTAACTAGTTTGAACATCTACCACAGTTTTTATTTTTAATTTCTTTTGACAAAGTCTCACTCTCCTGAATAGATAGGATTATAGGCCTAGGCCATAATGTTATGCTTCTTAAGAACTACATGGAGCTGGGCAGTGGTGGCGCACGCCTTTAGTCCCAGCACTTGGGAGGTAGAGGCAGGTGGATCTCTGTGAGTTTGAGGCCAGTCTGGGCAACATAGTGAGTTCCAGGAAAGGCGCAAAGCTACACAGAGAAACTGTTTCAAAAAACCAAAAAGAAATTCAACTTAAATTCTACTTGCTCTAAAACAGAACCATCTCCACAATCCAGTTACTAATGAAAGAAAACCAAAACACAACAAAGTCCTGTTGACTAATATAAACTTCAATGTGCCTGCTATTAATTTAAGTCTTCAGAAATTGTTACTTCTCAGAATTACACTTTTGCCTACAGAATAACAAATTGGCTAATGAAAAATATAAAGAGTGAGAGTATCTAGATAACTTTTCCAAATAATGCTCAACATATGACTTTTATTTTATTTTAAATCAAATCATTTTTTGAGTGTATATGTGTTCATGTGTGGAGGTCAAAAGACAGCTTGCAGGAGTCAGTTCTCCTTTCTACCATCTGGGAACTGGGTGTTAAACTCAGGCCATCAGCCTTGAGAGCAGATACATTTATCTGCTGACTATCTTGTTAGTTCTTATTCTGACTACTAAAAAGTAAGTAAATTGTAGGCCCAGCTCCTAGAACTTGGGAGGACAAGGCAGGAGATTGGGTGTATGCAACACTCTGTCTCAAAATTAGAAAAACAAGCCATGTGGTGGTACAGGCCTGTTATCTCAGCATTTGGAAGTGGAAGCAGGAGGATCAGGTATTCAAGGCTCTAGGTCAGAAGAGGAATACAAGAGAACCTGTTTTAAAACCAAAACCATCCCAAAACTCAGGGCTGGGAATTTTGCTTAGTGGTAGAGAGAGCTTTTTTAGCACCCTGGGTTTCATCACAAGCATACAAATAAGCCCTGCTTAGTGGCCAATGCCCACAGTCCAAGAGGATGAGGCAAGAGGATCAATTCACAGTTATCTTAAGCTATATAGGCGCAAGCTCAAGGCCAGCCTGGGTGCTACTTGAGACCCTATCTCAAAAAGACAATAAACAAAAAGGCAAATATAAACACCGATAGAAAATTTTGTCAGGAATTGTCACTCTGTATGTTCTAACTATAGGTTTGCACTGGAAAAGATAAGCACAAATAACTATTTCTGTCTGAAAAAAAATCTATTTACATAAATGTATCACAATTTACCTGATTAAAGACAGTTATAAGAAGTCTAGAGTGTTAGGCCACATTATGGGTTTAGTTGTCAAAACCAGAAAGATAGTTTTGTTATTTTCAGTTGGGCTCTCCATGAAGGAGACCCCAGGAAAAAGATGTGAGGGAAGGAGCTTATTTGTGAGGTATCTTACTTAGGAAGCACTAGCAAGGGACTAGTGAAACTAAAGGAAAGAAGCTTTGCAAGTACACTGCTGAGCTAGTTACAGCTGTGGGCACCAACCTCTGGGAGACAAAAGAGAACATGCCCAGTACTGTTCTTCCTCTAGGGTACAGGCTCCTGTTTCTCTATTAGCTCGTTCACTAAAAGTGTTCTCAGATCAAAGACTCATCGTTTCTATCCTGTCTGCCTGAGCGGGAGTATGTTCCTGAGGCCAGGATGGGAAAGAAGTAGATAATAACATACATGGAGTAAAGATGGATGCGGACAACACCTGAATGTATGTAGTAGCTTTAATCTGCTCCTGTTTTGGTGCTGGGACGGACCCTGCACTTGTGTATGTTAGGTTAGCCCTCTACCACTAAGCCATGTCCCTGTCCCCCAGGTATTCTTTTGATTAAGTCATACTTTGAAAACACAACTCTTACTTTTTATTAAAGGCAACACAATACATTAAAGATATGATTAGATACTGGTCATTTAATTTACCAGAACTATTTAATCTGACCTCAGTTAGCTAGACTGAAAATAAAGCACCTGAATAAGTGTCAAATCTCTTCAAAGATACCAGGATAAGCCAGGCAGATAGCAAACAAGCTAACAGCTACCATTCAGCTTCCTCTGTCCTGACATCAGCATTAAAAATCTGTTCTAGC